CGAGCAGGGAGCCCGATGTGGGACCCGATCCCGGGACTCCAGGATCGTGACCTGAGCCGAAGGCAGTCGCTTAACCGACTGAGCCACCCAGGCGCCCCTCTCCGTTCAAGAATTTATCTGCGGTCCCCAGCTTGCAAGTGTTGGAGCCGGCACTGCGGTCCAGACCCCTGACGTCCAGAGTGCTGCCGGCCTCCTGTCCGTCTGCACTGCCACCGGGGGCTCAGACTGTCCCCTGTCCCCAGAGAGTAAGACCACTTTCTTTGAAGGCAGCAGTTCGTGTTGCTTTTCTCTTTAATCACCAGCCCTGAGTGGACGGTAACACATGCACTTGTCAAAGGCTATTATGACATATCGGCTGGTGGTGACATGTTGATGGGTTTGCTGGACGCCCATTGCCTGTGCTGGCTGACTCCAAGGGCAGGGGCAGGTTTTTCTAACATTCTCCCTGGATCACCTTGAGGGTGGCACCCCACAGGGCCAGCTTTTCAGTAAATGAATGGGTGATTTGATTCTGCATTTCTAATTAGGCCAGAGGGACAAAGCAAAGACATTTTGGATGGTAGAAAGACTGTGTCAGCCCCATTTCTTCCTTTTCTGCCTTATTCAGCCATTCCTTGGAGAGCACAGGGAAGACATCTGTACTGGGACCTCTGCATCCTATGGGGTGAACGGGGGCTGAGCTCTTTATAAGAGTTGCGCTCCCAGAACAATGGGGTGGGCGACACCCACTGTGGTATGAGACATGGGGTGTCCCGAATGGCACTGAGGCCCAGAAACCTTCCTCCTTCCTGGCCTTCTCACCACAAGAATCCCTCCTCTGGTCAAGGTCTTGTGTCTGAGAAACTGCTGATAATAACCAAACATGCAGTCAGGAAGGAGACGCATTAACTTACTAGAAGCTTTTGACATTTGACACTGCGTGGTTCATGACATGATAGCAGAGCCCGGATTGTTGGGAACTAAGGTGTTGAATGTGGGGGTGGGTGAGAGGAGAAGAGGTCCTGCCAGTGGAGGAGTCGTTACCTGCCTGCTGGGTGGGTTGTGTGGACAGTGCCATCTCCCGTGGACCACAGGGCTCTATTTTGTCTATCCCTATATTCCCCAGCATCTGGTTCAGGGCCTGACATGGAAAAGGTGCTCCCTAAGTTGAGAGGGCATTCTACCTGTGGAATGAACGAAGGAGGAAACAGGCAGGCTGGTCCCTGACTCTGTCATTATAGGGAGTGACCGTGAAAGGATCACTGGGGAGACTGAGTCAGAAATGAGAAAACAGAGCAAGAGTTTGCTGAATACATAGTGCAGGGTGTGGTGGAGGATGCACACTTGAATCAGACCCCACCCCGCTCTTAGCTTCCTGGGCAGCTGGGGAGATGTGTTACATGGTAAGCAGGGAGTATGGTTTAAAAACATATAGAAGGAAGGGAAAAATGAAGGACGGGAATCGGAGGGGGAGACGAACCATGAGAGACTATGGACTCTGAGAAACAAACTGAGGGTTCTAGAGGGGAGTGGGGTGGGGGGATGGTTTGGCCTGGTGATGGGTATTAAAGAGGGCACGTTCTGCATGGAGCACTGGGTGTTACACGCAAACAATGAATCATGGAACACTACATCAAAAACTAATGATGTAATGTATGGTGATTAACATAACATAATAATATAAAAAAGAAAAAAATATATATGTTTTTACATCACCAGTAATGGGACGAATAGATATCATATGCTTCCTGATCTGATGCCCCGAGAAGGACACATCATCACTTCTGTGGTATGCTGGCCAAAAATGCATAACCTGAATCTAATCAGGGGAAAACACCAGAAAAGCCGAAACTCGGTTGCCTTAAAAAATGTTAAGGTCAGGCAAATGTGATCTTGGATGGGATCTGGGGAAAAAAATTAAAAAAAAAAAACAACAACCCCACAAACTCTTCTTATTAAGGGTACCACAAGATAATTAGCCAAATGTGAATATGATCTGTAGATTAGGTAATAATACCATACCAGTGTTAATTTCTGATTGTAATAATTATATTGCGGTTGTATAAGGGAATGTCCTTGTTTATAGGAAATGTACAGAGGTATTTAGACATTAGGGGGCCTCATGTCTGTAACTTAACTCTCAAAGGGTTTAGAAAAATGTAAATATGTGTATGTATTTTGGGGGGAGGGAGAATGATGAAGCAAATGTGCTGAAGTGTTAACATTTGGGGAATCTAGGTGAAAAATATTTTGGAAATTTTTTGTATTATTCTTGCAACTTTTCCATTAGTCCGAAGTTGTTTCAAGACAGAGTTTAAAAATGCATGCATACGTGTGTATATTCCGGCATGTATGAGAAGCTGTATAGCATAGTGGTTAGGGACTCAGGCTTGGAGCCAGGTTTCCTGGGTCCAAAGCTGGCTGTGCTATTTGTTATGTAAGCAATCTGAGCCTGAATAATACAAGACAACACTGGTGACTGCATTGGTTGGTTGTGAGAATTAAATGAATGAAAACCTGTGACAAGCTTAGAATAGTGAAAGCACATGGCAAGTGTGCAAAAAATGTCAGCTCTTATAATACAAAATAGAGCAGCCCATAACTACTAATAATTATTTGGTTATAGGGCATGTGGTCTATATACATTTGTTGACCTACTGACCATAGGAACATAACACTTTGGAGTTTACAAATAATTTTCATATTTAATTTTTACGATTATCCCATAAAGCCTAACAGCAAGACATATTGCCCCCATTATATTGATCTGCAAATTGAGGCCAAGAAAAGGCCAGAAACATACCCTAAGTCCCCAACAACTGATCATTGGCACAACCTGGAGCTGATCCCAGCTGTCCTGACGACTAATCCTGGAGGAGATTCTCTTCTGCAGGTGATACCAACATCACACTCTGTCACTTTGCCTCTTATACTCTGTGAGTGAGGAATTTCCAGGAACAAAGTGCCTTCAAGGGGCCTTCCGTCATCCACGTAGTTACCCATTGTCAACTGTTGTCATATGTGTGTGTGTGTGTGTATGTGTGTGAGCATGGATTCTCCCAGCAATTACTGACTGGTTCCTCGAACCAGACTCCAGAATAGACGTGGCAGTCACTAATCCTGAGGCTGAAAAGCCTTCTGCTAGCTGCCTTCTGAGAGGCCTCGGTATACCATGTTGGGGGAATCTCCATCTGAAGGTCACGTGCTCTGCCATGTCACAGTGTGTGACCGTGTGAGTTATAGCCAGCCCCCGGGCATTCTGGAGCTGTAGACTCCATTTGGAAGGAGCCTTAAAGTCCCCTGGAATTCACTCATTACCTGTTTTCTAAGCAAACAAAGACACTCAACTAAAAACTGAAATCAAAAAAGCAACTGAGGAGGGGCGCCTGGGTGGCTTAGTCGTTGGGTGTCTGCCTTAGGCTTGGGTCGTGATCCCAGGGTCCTGGGATCGAGCCCCGCATCAGGCTCCCTGCTCTGCGGGAAGCCTGCTTCTCCCTCTCCCTCTCCCCCTGCTTGTGTTCCCTCTCTGGCTCTCTCTCTGTCAAATAAATTAAAAAAAAAAAAAAAAAAAAAAGCAACTGAGGAGTTTTCTCAGAAATAGCCCTCCTCTGCACTTCAGAGAACCTAGGAACTGGATTCCTGCCTCCATGGGTCTTAGGATCTTCAGTGGGGCCTCAGCTGGACAGATGTTAATTACTATAAACCAATCTCTGGCAGCCTCGGGTGCAAAGGGCAGCACCTCTCAACTTCCCTGCATTTGCTCACTATTTATAATTTGCACAGCTTTGTATTAGGTATTTCTGTGAATTCTTGCAACAAGCACTTCCTACCGAGTAGATGATAACACGAGGGGCTCATAGGGGCTAAGAAACAGCCCATGGGCCAGAACCCTGGTCTTAAGTAAGTGCTACTTACTTATGCTGGCTCTCCTTACCTTCCTGTTTTGGAAATTATTTTATTTTATTGACATTGCTACTTTTTTTTTTTTAAAAGATTTATTTATTTGAGAGAGAGAGAGAGGGAGAGGAGAGGGAAAAAGAGAATCCTCAAGCAGACTCTCCACTGGGTGCGGAGCACGATGCAGGGCTTGATCCCATGACCCTGAGATCACGACCTGAGCCAAAACCAAGAGTCAGACGTTCAACCATTCAACCGAGTGAGCCACACAGGTGTCCTGATAGTGCTACTTATTAATGATCCTCCTGTTTATTTACCACCACTCATTCATTGCAGCCTGCCTCATCTGGCCATCTTTTCAAGCATTTCTGGGTTTTCTCACCAGCTGTGCATCTGGAAGTGCCTCAGGGGACATGGAGCCCCTCGACTCATTGCTTGAAAAGAAGGAAAAGTGTGAGAATAACTGTGTTGCCGGAAATGCATGATAGAGCCCAGTAGAAGTGGAGCTGAATGTCAGCTCTGGCTTGAAGTTTCTGCATATGAGTCTTCTCCATATACATGTCTAATTAAGAGCTGAAAATATCTTCATCCATTCATTTACAGTGAACATCACCGAGGGTCCAGGTGCTACGGTTTCCCTTCCTACCTCCTCACAGAGGTGAGGCTCCACATTTTAAGCCAATCAGTATTAGGATGGAGGTTAAAGACTTGAGTTCTAGGCCTTTCTTCACCATGACCTTTCAGATCTGTGAATTGCAATGGAGTTCATCTGTTATTTGCACTTCCTACCCTATTATAAAAAGAAAATAAAATGTATTTGGAAGTCTTTGTGGATTGCAGTGTTCCTCAAATGTAATATGGTTTTATGGTGATGGTAATGCCAAAGATAATAGAAACTGCTTCTGGAGAATTGCTACTTCTGTCATGCTTCCTAAGCCCTCATACGTGAGGAATATAAGTTCAGTGAGTAGAATAATAAATAGGTTCTGTGTAAGTATGTGAATGAATGAATTGAAAAGGGTTGTAAATTACCATTGTACAGTGTTTCTATTGAATCACAAAGTTTACTCCCATAAACATTTCATTATCAGAGACTAAAATGACATGTGTTTATGTTCTTACAGCTAACATACAGAAAGCCTTCTACTTATCCTTTAAAATTCGGCTCAGCGGTCACCTCCTCTAGGAAGTCTTCTTGGACTCACTGATCCTCCTCCACCAGGTGGGATAAAATGGCCCTTCTCTGCTGCTATAATACGTGGGCCTATTTCTACCGCATGTATCATGCTGTATTTACCTGTGCTCTCGCCCTCGGGATTCGGTCTTATTCATCTTTGCATCCTGAATGTCCAGTGCAATTCCTGACGTGTTATTTTTGCCTTCGGAAATGTTTTCTGAATGAATGGCCAAACGTTTACCACTTCTAACAAGGCGTGGCTTGTAAACACAGTAGGGATTGAGGTCAAGGAAATGTGGTTCACTTTTTGCCATAAAGTGCTTACATATTGCACGCGAGAACCCAGTGCCTCATGATTTTTTAACCTCTTATGTGATGATCCCCACAAAAACCCCTTGGGATAGAAAGGACTATAATGACCTTGGTAGTTTTGAGCAGCTTCATATTTTCTTTACATCAAGCTTGGCCTCTTTTCATTATAAAAGAGATGGCTGAGTTCATGTAAGGCAGGAAGAATCAGAAGATGTCTGCTTCTCCCAGAAAGTCTTCCAAACTCCTGCCTAGCCTGCAGGGGTTCCCACCAGTGTAGGCAACATGAGGAATCGGTACGATACGGACATATTTGTACATTTTAAAAAAGATTAAATGTGATATAGTACTGGAACTGAGCATGGGAGTTTAAGGCCCTGGGTATTATGCTTTCCCTTGCTATAGGGGATGGAAAGAATATTGTTTCTCCTTAAAATGATTTATTTAAATGGGTAGACTAGAATTCTACTTAAAACCCAGTATCTGAATGCACCTGTTTAAGTCAGCTTCTTGTTCTCCCAGGTATTTAGGCATTGAATTTTCCCCATTAGGGAAGTGATTGACACCGTGGTCCTTACAATAACACATGATTATAACTCTGCAAATGGCAATTACATTCAATGGAAACCAGATGTTGCATGGAATTTGACTCTGTTGGTTTCTTGGTGAAGTAGATGAATTTGTAAAGTAGAAAACCACAATCATTACTCAGATGGACTATACATGAATTAATGACATAATATCTAAATCATATATGGTTGAAAATAATGATTAACTTAAACTATCAAGATAAGCTAATGAAAAACAGACTCTTAAAATATTAAAGCTATGTTTTCTTCAATATATATTTTATCAGCATGCTAATAACAAAACCAGACTTGTTTGCATGTCTCTTCAGCCCCAAGGAAGAAGAAAATATCTAAAAAGAAGAGCCTCTCAGTAAACAGTAAGGAGAAAGTGAACAATCATGAGAGTTTTTCTTGGCTGGTGTGAATTTTTAGAGTGTCTGAAATCAATCTTTAAAAAATATATTGTTGTTAAGGACAGCTAACAATGTTTTATGCTGAATCACACAGAGAGAGTATATTTCGAAGGACACATTTGGCGTGCAAAGCATGACCTCTCAAGCAAAACTTCTTTTCCTGTCCCATCTCTCTGTGGTGCCTGTGTGCAAATGTGTGTGCACACACACACGTGCGTGCATACACCGTCCCCCCCACCCCCCGCCGCCCCCCACGCACCAGTGATGCCTCAGGCCAGGAAGGCAAATCAGCATTATCTTCAAACCCGCACTGTCCCTTGAAAAGCTCACCCTTCAGTTAGCAAACCTCCTAAGTGGTTAAGTTTGCAAACCTTGGCCCATCATTTCCACTGTCATGAATTCTCAATGACATCATCACTGTAAAATTAGGAACTCTCTTTCTTTTCCTGCAGATGTGAAAGTTTGACATTGCATTCCATGGTCCCGTGCCACATTTCATCAGCGTTTTTCCTTTGCTTTCTCCAAAGCCTGTGGCCGCATGTGGCGTGTGGATTGCAGTGCTGTTTGGGATCTCGTATCAAATGCTGCTACCTAATCCCAGGCGGCCTTCCACAAGCCCACACCTGCAGCTCATTGAGTCCTCCTGGAGTACAAAGGGCTGATTTACAGCGCGAAGGATCCAGGCACTCGTTGCAGCTGGGGCTCCAGCAGGAAAAGGAAGTTGTTCATCATCTTGTGTGCATTTCATTAACAATAGTGTACCCGATATGTAGCTTATAGAATAATTTCAAATCACTGACAGAGAGCATTATGGCATTTAAAGGCACTACTAGGAAAAATACTTCGGGATGGGCAAATTACACCTGAGCGTGAGGTTTCTATGCGACCCTCTGGAACTGTGCACCCTGATTTATACCAGGTGGGTTGACCTTGCGATATTTTCTGATTTGTTGGGCATTTTCTCATTTCTCATTTCTTTTCCTTTGTCTCTGAAGCAGCCCTGGGGTAGACTTGGGATATCCTTAGCTTTCTGTGCTTTTCACGTGTTAGCAACCAAGAGCTTCGTATGACCTGGGCTAAGCATGGTGTCTCGAAACCAAGCGCCTGAGGAAATGTCTGTCACTGGCGCCCTGGGAGTGCCACAACAAGATGTGACGGCATGTCGCTTTCTCCTTTAAGTCTCAACAGTCAAAGAAATGAAGGAGTCCCAGTGAGACCCTGAGATCCCAGGGTCCTGGCTCACCGGGACTCTAGGGAATTAAAAAAAAAAAAAAAAAGGAAGATGCTCATATTTTCTTCTGCCTTATTGGGCTGCCGTGCGTCCATTTTACTATTGACTTACTTCTACCCAAAAAGAGGCCTGGTGGTGGAAATGCCGTGAAGGTGGTGATGATGATGAGCTCAGATGAAGGAGACAGAGAAGTGAGGGGCAGGAAGAAGCCCACCGTCCCCCCTGCTAAGGTTCCCACAGCCCTCCGTGGCCTGCTGGGCCCGTCTCCTCTGGGGCCAGCACAGCCTCCAGTCAGAGGCCTCGCCTATTCACTGGGAAGGCTCTGCCTTTCCAGATCTTTTCTGGGAGTGTCTTGCAGGTCCCAGTTGAAGGATTTTTCTGAGGAAGTAGAAAGCCTTAGAACCTCAAAACAAAAAGGCCTCAGGAGCACTGTCCCTTTCGGGGTTTGGGGCCAAGCCCCATGTAGGGAGGACGGCAGCACTGCACGGAGCGAAAATATCAGGGCTTCTGACTCGTTTGTCGTGGACATTTTAACGGCAACTTTTTTTTTTATATAAAGAGGGACAAAATCAATAAAAATCGCCATTCTCAGGGGAAAGGGAGCAGGGGAGGAAAAGCAAATTTCTTTTCACTTTGTAATGGTAAACAAACTCGGCTCAGAGCAGTATCTGATGTGCTTGCATGAAGCCTGGTTTCCAGTTTCTCTTGATGTGTCAAATGTATCCCTTATGTGAATCATGGTTTAAAAATACTTTTACTCAGTGGGTTCGGGAAATCAATAAGCTTTTATGATTCTTTCCTTGCTTCACATAATTTCTGATTTCAAAAGAGACTCTGGGTATTCCTTTAAGATGTTTATATATTATGCATTTTAAAAACTAACAATTCTTCCAAGGGCTTCCCAAGCATTGTTGTTGGAGGTTTTTTTTTTCTTTCTTCCTTTCTTTCTTTTCTTTCTTTCTTTCTTTCTTTCTTTCTTTCTTTCTTTCTTTCTTTCTTTCTTTTTCTTTAACATTAAGCTAATGATTATGGGGCTTACACATAAATTGAAGCCGGATTTATAAAATGCAATATAAAAATCCTCGGGAAGGAAGATAAATATAACAAGCTCTGAAACTACGTTAGCCTCTTCCAGTGTTGGAATGACTACAAACGAGGAAATTAATGACCAGGATGTGTGATGTTGCCCAGGTTAGGAGCTTTGGCTCCCAGGCAGGCTGCCTTAAGACGAACTGTCCTGCATTCCTTGATTTCTCTGAAATACAAATCTAATTGCAGATTGGAACATATCCATTCGCTTAGTCTGTAAAAATAATTTTCCCTGAATATTTACCCAAAGCGCATTATTGCTTATACAGTTGTGAAAAGCATTTAGCACTTTATAATCCCATATTTGCTCCTATGTGGGCCTGGGAGTGTACTCTCCTTACAAAATTCACAAATGCCTAGAAGGCTAACAATTTTTACAAAGTGTTCCTCATGGAAAACATCTGGAAGTTTTCCAGAATGGCATTCCAGATGTTATAGTTTTAGCAGTCACAAAAGTGCACTGAACATGCAGGGTGAGTGTGTGTGTGTGTTTCCTGGTTCTACAGAGCACGTTTCTTACACGTACCCAGCTCTCTTTGCTCTACCTCTGGAACATTTTAGGTTTGAATTATTGAATATTTCATTTCTGGACAACTCTGCTTTCAGGGCAATTACACATCTGTAAGGAGGGAGCATGATGTAGACTACTGTAACCAAATACGCACTGGGAGAAGGAATTTTTAATTGGTATTTTAAAATTGATTTTTTTTCCTCTGTGGGGTCAGAGAGAAGAATAAACACTGGGGGAGTGAGGCCTGGATGAATCGGCTGTATCGGGAGAGGGCTGCCCTTCTTCCCTTTCTCAGATTGTCCTCTGTAGAGAGGAGAAAACCCCTCTCCCCTGCCCTCCCCAGCTGCAGGGTGCTGGGCAGAGAGCGAGGAGCAGGAGATGAGGGGCCAGGAGACAAGATGTTTTCCTTTCAAACTGTTCAATGCTGCTCAATTTTGGAGACATTTAGGAAAGTGTGAAGTCCAAGTCAGGGCTCCTTGATCTTTTTCTTCTCCCTGTCCTCCTTCGTCCTCACCTTTTAGATTTGGGCCCTTTCTGTAGTAACCAGCCCCAGGGAAATTAATGGCTCAAAGAAATTCAGCCGAGAGACTGGCCTGTTCTTAGAACCAGCTCCTGTGAGTCCTGCCTGATGGCAGGTCTCCTTCTCGAGACCAGGGCAGAGATGGCAACAGGGAGGAGGGGGAGAAGGAAAAAATCTGGTCATGGGCTAGGATGGAAATAAGCCATGATTCAGGGAGCCATAGCATTTTATGCTGTGAGTTTTCTATCACACGGGGAGACAGATGAATGAGGATCCACCTCCCTAACCAACCAACCAGACATGATGAGAACTTCCTCTGAACGAAAATATTTGTTGCACAGTGCATTGAGCCAATCTTGTTTCTTATTACTAGTTACTTTGGGGGAGGAGAGAGAGCACATTGGAAAGGAAAAACCTAACCCAAGGATGGGTAGGGGGGACGATGGAGTGAATCTGGGTAAAGGTGATGGGTCTACACTGGCTGAAGCAGCAGAGAGGTGGGGACCAGTGGAAGGTAGGGTGCAAAAGACCTGTATGAGGGGACATAGAGCAGAAATGCCCCTGTCGCCCCCAGCCTGTGGTCACTGACACATGGCAGGAAGTCATCAGGAGGCTCGTATGAAAATGAGAAAGGCCATCTTGTTCACCCATCTTTACTTCTGGGATAGGTGTTAACTCCAGGCATTTGCCCCCAGGAAATTCCTGAAGGGTTCTTGCTTAGCCTTGGGAAAGTCCAGAATCAAGACCCCTTCAAATGAAGAGGACCTATTGTCCCCAAAGGGCCTGGGCTCCCCTGCCTGTGTCCAGACAATGTGTGGGACCTGACCTCCCATCAACCCTTGGACTCTGGTTCCCATAGTTAGCTGGGATCGCCATTGGCTCAGAAAGAAGCTGATCCTCCTGGACTGTCCTGGTTCCTGTGTCCTGGGCCAACCAGGACAGTTGGTTATCCTATCTGAAGCATGTCCCCGACCTTCTGTCTATCCACATTAGAAAGGTTGTGGGGACCTTCCATCCCTCTCCCAGGGCTGCCACAGCTGAGAACCTGTTTGGAGCCGGGCTCTGGGTGGCACCTGGAAGACCAGCCACACTGCAGTCAGATCAAAAAATTGAGTCCTACTTTAGGGGAGTGTGTGTTCCTCCTGAGGGTCCCCAGGAAGTATGGACATCTTAGCTCCCAAAGCCTGATCCTTCTCTTTGCCGCCATAACCTGTTCCCCAGAATGTCCAGGGGGTGACCAAGTGGAGACCTGCCCTAGAAAACCAAGAGGGTAGTGTGGCACAATGGGAAGAACACAGCACTGAGACTGAGATTTTATCTAGCTCTGGATTCATGATCACCTACAGTTTCACCTGCAGGAGCTATTTAATGTCTCAGTTTCTTCAGCTGTAAAATAGGGATAGTAATTCTTACCTCTTAGAGTTATTTTTTGTAAAAGCTTAGTGCTGTGTTTGACATGTATTACTTGTTAGAAAAAAAAAGGTTGTTTCTTCTCTGCCTCAGGGACATTCAGAGTCATCATCCAAAGTGAAATAAATGTCACTGTCAGAATAAGGGAAGAAGTGCCCTATGATGGTGACCCTCGAGGAATTTCCCATTGTTTCTCCTTCCTTCTTCCTGGGTCTCTACCCTTCTGCTCTCCCGAGTCACCTGCTACTTCTCTGACTGTCCTCAGTCTCCTCCCAGGGCTGTGTCCCTTCTAGTCCTCTTCCTGTTCATGACATTCAGCTTGCTGTCCATGATCCTCCCCTCCATTTCCAGAGCCAATCTCATTCTCTCTTGTGGCATCAACAGGGCTACCAAGGCTCCATGCCCATTGTCCACTCCATTTCTATCATCATTGCTGCCTTGGATCTCATATTTTTAGCTTAATAATATCACAAACATTGCATCTTTAGAATCTTTGTCTTCTCTGTCTCTATGTCTCACCCACATGAGCGTGTGCTCGTGTGCATGCATGCACACACACACACAATTCAGTTAGTCAATAGAGAACTGAATTTACTTCATACATATTTTTCAAAATCAAATCAGTTGCCATAGCCTCTCTCCTGGTCTGTTTAAATAAAATCCCATAACAGAATTTCTTACCTCTAATTCTACACCTCTTCAATTTACCCATACCCTTCAGTAAGATCAATGTTATCTTTTTAAAACTCACATCGGGCCATGATACTCCCTAACTCAAAAGCCTTCACTATATCCCCCATCGCTTTCAAGTGAAGCCCCAATTGCTTAGCCTAGCACTTGAGGTCCTTAACATTTGGATCTTAATCTCTCCAATGTCATGTCCCATCATCCCTCCTTTTTCCTCTCCCTCTTTTGGTGCTTTCTAGTGACATGTGCTGTGCCTTTAGCTTCCACTAGCTCTCCATGACCTGTCCTTTAATACCCAGCCTGACTTTACCTCCTTTGCTTAGACAAAATGAAAGCCATAGTGTTGTGTGCATTTGTGTGTTGTGGCACGTAACCCCTGTGATGCTGGTTCTCATCTGCAACTCCCATGTGCGCTACCATGTTTGCACTATTTTAGGGTAAGAGATAGCCAGTTGAACAAGTGAACAGCACCCCAGTGACAGATGGCTGAACACTCATGAACACTATGGTTACAAAGACCAGGTGCAATGAATTGTGTCACTCCAGGGGCTTACAGGAGCTGATCACAGGAAAACTGGAGTGGATACTCCCAGCTCTTCCTTGAAGGGCTTGGGGTCCAACTCAGGTACTGCCTCAAAAGAAGTTCTGGGGGATCAGAAGTTCTCCCCACCTTCCTGAGTGAGCTCCAGAGTGAACTTTCCATGTACGGAATCCCACCTTCTTGATAACTCAGACACTCTTTTCATTATAGGTGGTTAGTCAACAGTAGATATAAACTGGGAAAGTTGAATTGTGTATAAACATGT